GGGAAGTTGACAAACAGCTTCGCTTCGTGCCTTCTGACTCTGTCCAGAATCAATCTCACATGTAGCTAGAGTATTGATTTCCTGACCTTGCACTGTGCTCAGCCTGTCTCTTATACACATCTAGATGTGTATAAGAGACAGCCCCTATACTCTGCCTCAATGCATTCATAGCGTGCATGTGGCCCATTATGGCACACAGGGATGGGGGCAGCTCGCACTCAACCACAATCGACGTGGTGAGCCTTGTATGCTGAGAGGCACAGTAAAAGGGGAGCTGCAAGAAGAAATAAAAGTTGAAACCCCCCCAACCCCCCCCACAAAAAGGCCAAGTGAGGAAAGTGAAGAAATAACTGTCACAAGGAGAAGGCACGATAACTGTTTTACTGTCCTTCATGTTGTTTATTATCGAAGGTTCTAAGGTAAAGCTGTTTCAATTTCGGATCAGGTTGCATGCTGTGTTCGGGGAATGATGATTGTGACATCTACAACAAAAGAGTGCTGCTGGATTCAACTTCTTGCGGGATGTCAGACTGCAGCTGCTTACAATACGAATTATTCCCCAGTCTCTTTGTCTTTTCACCTGACCCCCCTTCTTTACCCAACCGCGTCCCTAAGGGTTGTTCGTCAGAGCAACAACTGCGCCCCACCCCTCCCCCCGATCCCCCTCTGTGTGCTTCTCCACAGATGGCTGACAGTTATTGCCGTGTTTGTCTCCTGTGAATTTTTTTTCAATACTTGTTTTTCACGGCGCTGGCTGCGTCTGGCGCGGAATCGCATAATGGCGACTGCAACAGGCAGCAGTGGATGCACTGACTCGGAACTTGGCGCTCGAGTGGGGGCAAGAGTATGGGATCCGGGTAAATGGGATTGCGCCGGGCCCAGTCGGGAACACGCCAGGCCTGCAGAAGCTGAAACCGGAGGAAGTGGGGTTTGATGCAGCCCAATTTATACCCGTGGGGCGAGTCGGGGAGGCATGGGACATCGCTATGGCTGTTGTATATCTGACGTCAGAAGCAGGGTCATGGATCAGTGGTTGTACGATGATCGTGGACGGCGGAAATTGGCTTTTCAAGCCACAGCTTGTGCCAAAGGATGTGGTGAAGGCCCTCTCACGAAAGATCGAGAAACGGATGAAGGGTGGTCAGGGTGGAAGCCGAGAGGGCCGCAATACCTCACCGGAGCAATCGCAGTTGGACTTACATGGGCGTGGAAGTGGTGCGAGAGGGAGTCGCAAAACTATGGACGTAGGAAGTCAGGGAGGAGCGAAAGGCGATGAAGGGGGAGGAGGAGGAGGAGGAGGGGGAGGAGGAGGAGGAGGAGGAGTTCCATGGCGAAAGGAGAGCGGGAACAGAAGTGGAGACGGGAGCGTGAGGAGAGACAAACAGCACAGCAGGTTGTAGCTGTGGTTGCAGTCCTGCCTCTATGTCACCACTCTGTGGTTTGCTGCTGCGCACTGGAAGGTAGACATCCCTCCTTCAGTATCCTCAACAAGATTGTTACTGACATCAATGCAAATGCATATGTTTTTTTCAAGAAACAGCCAATTTGGAGTTTTGTAACTTCTGTGAAACCTTCCTCAAGTGGATTGTGGGAAAGGAGGAAGAATATACTAATTATAGAATGTTCATTCTGTGCAGAGAAGCCTTAGTTAGGTCATGCGTGTGTGTATCGTTGTCGAGTAGCTTAACCTGGCAGTAGTTACGGAGCACGGAGAATTGATGAACAAGGAGCAGCAAGGGAAGTGTTATGTTTTTGCTGTGAAACCTTCTTGAAGTGGATTCTGGGGAAAGGGGGAAGAATAATAGCTCTTGTTTTTTAATTGTTTTGTTTGTGTGGGGGGGGGGGGGGGGGGGGGGGGGGGGTTTTTTTTTTTTTTTTTTTTTTGTTGTGGGGGGGGGGGGGGGGGGGGGGGGGGGGGGGGGGGGGGGGGGGGGGCGGGAACCGGGTCCAGCATCCCATCAAGTGTCTCTCTCTGAGGTGGAAAGCGGTTCCAGCATCCCATCAAGTGTCTCTCTCTGAGGTGGAAAGCGGTTCCAGCATCCAAAAATAGAAAGGTTATTCTGTCCAGAGAAGCCTTTGCTTATGTCTGTGTACTTTTGTACAGTAGCTTAACTGGAGAGGAGGTAAGAGTGCGTAGAACTGATGAAGACACTATGCGTAGAGAATGGATGGCCAGTGTTCAGATCATGTTCTTGGATTGTGTTTTTTTTTTTTTTTTTTTTTTTT